GCCGTCATTGTTGTTTGGCGGGTCCGGGCTGGGGATTCAAACCCGCCACCTTAGGTGTACGTGGCTGGCGCCTTAGCCGGTTGAGCTATAGGCGCTAAGCCCCAAACTTATTCTCTAATAGAGAAACATCAATAGTTCAATCAGACACCAGTCAAAAGCAAATATTGCTTTTCATCCAATATTTTAAAAAATCACAAATTTAAGAGAAAACAAATTCTCAACCTCATGTAGCTTAGAGAGGATCAGGGTCAAAAGTACAAATACAAATAGATAAATACAAATGATTAAAATATTCACAAGGGTTCAGGGCCTGTAGATCAGCAGTTAGGGAGCCAGCCACATACACCAAAGCTGGCGGGTTCGAACCCAGCCTGGGCCTGTCAAACAACAAAGACAACTGCAACCAAAAAATAGCCAGGCGTAGTGGCAGGCGCCTGTAGTCCCAGGTACTTGGGGGCTGAAGCAAGAGAATCACTTAAGGCCAAGAGTTGGAGATTGCTGGGAGCTGTGACACCATAGCACTCTACTGAGGGTGACATAGTAAGACTCTGTCTCAAAAAGTAATAATAATATACTCACAAGGCCGGGTGCACTGGCTCATGCCTGTAATCCTAGCACTCTGGGAGGCCAAGGCTAGTGTATTACCCAAGCCCAGGAGTTCGAGACCAGCCTGAGCAAGAGCCAGACCCTGCCTCTAAAAATAGCTGGGCATTGTGGCGAGTGCTCATAGTTCCAGCTACTTTTGGGAGGCTGAGTCAAGAGGATTGCTTGAGCCCAGGAGTTTCACGTTTCTGTAAACTATGATACTACAGCACTCTACCGAGGGTAACAAAGTGAAACTGTCTCAATAAAATATTCACAAATATACACAGAAAATAAGCACATAGAATAAATACAGATAACTCTATCTACAAAAAAAGGAGCTAAATGTTAAGTAAGTAGAGATGTTAAAGAGGCAGGATTACTTGAGGCCAGGAGTTCAAGACCAGACTAAACAAAAGTAAGACCTCTGTCTCCACAAACAATAGAAAAATTAGCAGGGTGTGGTGACACATGTCTCTTGCCCCAGCTATTTTGGAGGCTGAGGCAGAAGGATCACTTAAGCCTAGGAGTTCGAGGCTGCACTGAGCTATAATGAAGGCACTGCTTTCCAGAGTGGGCAACAGAGTGACATTCTATCTCAAAGGAAAACAAAAAATTCCAGGCAGTGAGTGTAAAGTTCTCTATACTTGGTTTGGGTCCTCCCTGTTATCTGTGGAATCTGTGGTTACAGAGGATAGCCCAGCTGAGGATGGTTAAATGGGCTCCCTTCTCTGATTTAGATCCAGAGTCTGCCTCTTCCTCTGCCTCTTTATTTGTATTATTATTATTTTATTTT